CGTAGCAACATCTTGTGCCGATAAATATCGTAAGTGTTACGATACATGTCGCAGGTATTTCATTTGACGTTAAATGTCGCAATATTTTAATTCATGTAAAGCAACTGGTATCGGTATTGGTATTTTGTCCATATTATCATTATGTAAGTCATCTAAGGAATAGTAACCATCCACTTGCATACAAATTTAGTATAATGCAGTGAAGCACTGAATTCAAAATTTAAAATTTAAATCCATCTATCTATCCATCCATCTATTTATATCTATCTTTCAGATAGGAAAGGATTTCCTGGCATGTCTAAAATATCTAAATTGGTATTATTTGATTGAGGTTACTTTTGGTCACGACTTTTAATAGCAACAAGCGATGTAATAGAAAATGGTTGCAGGTTAAGAGACCACTCATTTGCCAAACAACCGAACTCAGTCGTATTTTCGTTGGGTTAAACATGGATTAAGTTAGCATTTCAATGAAAAGGCAGTGTTTTTAAAGATTCTAGAGTAGGTAGAAAAATCTCCGCTATAAATAAAATTTACCTGCTTTAATCATTATATTTTAAAGTATTTTATACTACCCTTTTGCAACACATGTCGCTTACATTAGTTACATATACTTGATAGACTGAAATGTATTGTTTTGACATTTCCACCGAATTTTAATTGCACAATCACTATTTATTGCTTTGATAAGACATTGTATTTGGCGGGGAAAATGTATGTTTGAATGCATGTCATATCGTTTAGCTTTTATTTTACTTAAGATTTGAGGGACCACCGTGGCTAAATGGTTATTAACTCCTTTTTTATTTATTTTTTTGTATACATGAGTGAACACGTCTCAGACATAAGAGACTGCATCATAACTACTGTAGCTACACGTTTATTTGTAGATTTAAGTTTATAAGGGTACCATTTTGACTTTTTATTCGTTTTGCTAGATTTCTTCAAAACTTCACAATTTTCGTTTTCGATTTTAACATACCTAATGTATTTTCTTTGATAATTATTGGTAAAAGTTATTGGTATTTTTTTCGTTGAATGCAGCAATTTAGTCAATGAGGTGTTTTCAAACTGGCCTATCTAGTTACTATGGTTCACGATCTTTTATGGCTACAAACGATCGATGTAATAGAAATGTAATATAAGAGACCAGTCTTTTTCCACAATATTTAACATTCAGAATATATTTCCTTTGATTATTATTTATAAAAAAAGTAAAATTATTCCTTTTTATGCAGCCTATTAGTAAATGGGTTTTTTTCAAACTGACCTTTACGGATGAAATACAAAAATGAGCTTTTAATGGTGTTCCACATGAACAGAAATTTACTAAATTGCATGTATCCCATTCTGGCAGTTTGATGCTGTAACAATTTCCATAGAAATATATGTAATTACACCCGTCACTATTATCTTGACACAGAAATTTCAAAATAACATCATTTTATGAGTACGCAACTCATCTGACGATCCCCCCCCCCCAGCCAGATGAAAATCCGGACACTTAAGACATTTAAAAATTATATTTCGTCAAGATTCAGCAGATAAATCGGGACAATCCCAAATTTACTGAAAATATATATAAACATTTACTCAATGTTGATTGCAATATAATTCCACTAGCAAGAATATACATTGTAACAGTCGGATAAATACATTCAATACAAGGACCTTTGAACCGTTAATACAAAACCAGAGATTACATATTATGTCCTTAAAAATGTTTAAGTTCAAGCTGTCTTTGTTGTTCTATATTCGATAATTGCAGTATTTATTGCTCTTTGTCAGTCTATATCGGTGGTTCCGTTATTCCTACTTGAATAATGTTGAATCAATCTTAGGATATGTTGCCTGCTTTTTAACTTTGTCTTTTGATATAGAATAGATTTTTATTTGTCCATTCTTAGCTTATCAACAGATTACATATAGTTTTATCAAGGTATGCTTCACTTTACTTCATGGCATGTTCGATGAATAAATACGAGCGTGTCAGATTCCTGGCACGATTATTGGTGGACTTTCCCTACGGGGTTATCTTCAGCGATCACGTCATGTCATAGTATATAAACGGGTACGCTGAAGACCTTAAGCTAATCTGTGATATGCAGGCTTCATAACCTCTGATCTCCTTTCAAAATTCTATTTTATTTAGTTCCGCCCATTGTTTTCTCGTTTAGGGCACACGCTTACTTGGGGAACATATGCCGCTTTTCATGGAATGGCACGGAAGTGTCATATTGAAGGTTCCATGATTACCGCCGTATGAACACATCTGCGTATGTTTCTAAATTCAAAATCTTACCATATCATGTTTAAATGTTGAATTCTGCTTAAGCCGGTGCTAGCGGGCGTGGACGGTAGTTTGCACTTGACAAAACCGTCCATGAACAGGCTCAATCAAACCGAACATGCAACATTTTCAATTATGTTGTGTTGGATTTCTTTAGGGATTCTTATTTCTCTCTATTTTGCAGTATAAAGTATGACCCCATTAAACCTCGGTACACCTAGCCGATTATTCTTAGAGCTTATCCGGATACTAGCAGAAATAGCCGATATGTTGCTCAGAAATCGTTTATGTTCCGTCATTTTAACAAGCAAATCTTCAACAGCTGCGAAAAAGCCTCTCGCATGTTTCTTTTTAAAGAAGAAAAATTGCTTTCAGATTTAACATTTCTTCGAGAATTACACAGCATACAATGTCCTTATTCGTGTATTTAGCTGTAAACTTATTCAAATTCCCTTCACTTCTAAGTAAATGTAGTTACAGATTTTGGCGATGCAAATAGTGAAATATGTGACATTATTTGCTATATAATATGAAAATAATTTTGTTTTAGAGAGTTATCATGGGAAAATGTTTAAAGATTTTGTTTAGAGAAATAATTTCAAATCAATGTATTGATGACGTTTATCGAGGTAGGTCTGGTAGTATTATACTTGATAATGATCCCTTTGGCATATCATTCCGTTATCTTGTATGGGTTCGGCATACTCTCATGTTATTAACAATGCCACTGAATAGAACTTCCCTTGAAAATTCCTCTGGAAATGTACATTGTATAACATCGCCTATCACATTTATCCATTCACATTAAGAGTTCATAAAATCAATAATTTGATAGTTATTTTATTAACATGCCTTGATTTATTCAAAATGTTTGGCCGGGCTGCACAGGTGCAAACCAGATTTATAGTATTGTGAATGTCGGGCGGCGGACGGACGGAAATATTTTTCTCATATATTGCATACAGTATTGACATGCAGTCCCATACCGTGGAATTCGATTCGTCCACATTTTGTTTACTCACTTGGTTAAATTTTCGACATTAATGGTCAAGGGTAGGAAATTTTTGTAACAGTTTTCTCAGCAACTAGTTATCACAGCCTCTTAATATATGGCGTACAGTATTGACACGTGGTCACATACCATGGGATTCGATTCAAGTTTGTCGCTCTTCCACTTCCCGTTAACCGTTTAGTTTAATTTTCAACATTAATGGTCAATGGTGGGAGATTTTCTTAACAGTTTTCTCAGCAACTACTTAATACAGCCTCTTGATATTTGGTATACAGCATTTACATGTGGCCCCATACCTTGGGATACGAAATCAGGTATGTTGCTCATCCACTTCCAGTTTACCGTCATATATGGTCAGTGTTTTTTGTTTGTTTGTTGTTTTTTGTTGTTGTTTTTTCTTCTTCTTTTTTTTTGGGGGGGGTCGTACTATTACGGGCTCGTGGTATTTTGTATACAAATTCAACCCGGCCTTTTGTGTTTTTACTCATTTTTTCATACATATTATCGTAGATCCGACTTGTGGTTTTCATTTCATTAATTCAAATTTATGATATACAATTTTCAATTATTTTTTCTTTAAGTTATTTCTTCATTTATAAATATGATAAATAGAGGATATTCAATTTTTTTCTATAAATACATGATTTATTTTCATTAAGTGGTATGAAAATAAATATTTCATGAGTGGCGTTAGCCACGAGTGAAATATGGTAATTTTTATGCCACAAGATGAAAATAAATTGTGTATTTATAGAAAAAACTTGAATTTTCTGTTTATTATATACATTTGTCTCCTTTTTGAAATTAAAATTTGAAAGACTTTCCCTTAAATTTTGTGTACTGGCAGAATTTAAAAGATAGTAGTCCGGCAAGACACCAGTGAAAATACGGAAAATATGTTTCACTGCAGTGAAAAATAAATTTTTACAGTGAAAATACGTAAATTGAAAATACGCATTTTATTTCATCAATATTTCATTTATAAGTATATAATAAACTGATATCAAAACTCTAGAAATTTCAACAAATAACAAGTTACGTAAATTAGTATCCCCAGTACAAGATTATATTTTCAATGAACAGATATTTCTAGTTGATAAGCCTTTATTACAAATTCACAATTCGATAATACAATGAAATAAACATAAACTTTAAAGACATCCAACTACAGCGTTATTGAGATGGCTGCTTGGTGGTTACGGTGACTGCCTTGCAAGCCATGAGTCGAATGTACAAACCCTACTTGGGTCATTATTATTATTTCACATCCTACACCATTACTGGTTAGTTCTGGAAGCGAACTGTACATTAGTTATTTAAAGTACGCTACAAAATCTAAATAATTTAATACAAACAATAAAAATTTGACTGAAAGAAAATATTGTTAATAGTAAAGATAAAAGTAGCAATATTAAAAGCTATCTACCATAATACATTATTTAATAGTGTGTATGAATGAGTTGTCAAATCAAAAGTCAATATAGTTACGTACCTTTAAATTTTCAATCAAAAAGCATTGACAGAACCTTTTTAATTTGGTAAATAATTAAGAGTGGGGGAGTGTGACAAAACCACACTTGATTCAATTTAAATAATACCGTTAATGATTATGAATATGTATGGTTTAACTAAGCTTAGAAAAGAAGTCCATGACCATGTACTTGTTTCATTTGTGTAATTGTATTACATATATTTCAGATATTGCTTGTATGGTGTATATGGTTAAATGTTAGCAACAACCAGGTAGAAGGAGGTAACTAAATTTACATCCGTCTATATAACAGATACGAATGTGATATTTTTCTCTGTTAATTGAAAACGTAACATTATTTAGGTTAAAAGAAAAAACATGAAGCACGAAAAGGTGGTGGTAGTTTTAATGAAATGATTTTTTTTCTCCTTACAGTGATTGATGAAAATTGTCAAGTAGGGTGTGCATGCTGTATAGATAGAAAATGTGGACCAGGGGAATGGTTTCCTAACGAATGTACATTAGGCTGTATTGATGGTCATAGATCTGCTCGATGTTATGAGCTATGTACATACAATTGTACACAATGCCCTAATTATAGAGATGAGTGTACTGCGTGCTATGGTGGCTATTATCCCGGCGTTGCTAGAGATTGCACATCACAATGTTTACCCGGATGTAAAACATGCACATCAGGAATCACGTGTACATCATGCAAGGAGGGATATAATAATGACAATGGTCGGAATGATTGTAGCAATCGTTACTGTCCTGAAAATTGTAATTGTGATAACGGTCAATGCACATCATGTAAGGACGGATATTACGATACCAGTAATAAATGTAATAGTTTATGTCCAGATAACTGTGTCACATGTACATCGATTACTTATTGTGGATCGTGTAAGGATGGTTATTATAAAGGTAACCAGTACGACAACAATAACCCCCCTTTGAGAAACGACTGTACATACAAATGTCGAGATAACTGTCTACAATGTTCGTCATATAACAGTTGCTTGCTTTGTAAAACTGGTCTTTATGGATCGACATGCGACAACAGTTGTTCAGTTGGTTGTATATCAAACACTTGCGATATACTAACTGGTTACTGTCATTGTTCTCTTAATTTTGTTGGGAAAAGATGTGACAAATGCACAACCGGGCGTTTTGGAAATTTGTGCGATCAACAATGTCCTCCAGGGTGTAAAAGTAATGTGTGTGATAAAAATTCCGGAGATTGTACAGACGGATGTACTATAGACACGATCGTTGGGGATAAATGTAGCGTTTGTTCAACCGGCTGGTATGGACACTACTGTAACATGTCTTGTTCTGTTGGCTGTAAAAATCAGCAATGTGAGAAAAATGATGGTGATTGCTCCTATGGATGTCTTAATAACTTTGTAGGAGGACAATGCAATGAATGCATACCTGGAAAATATGGAGCATCATGCAACAAAGGCTGTCCAAATAACTGTGACGAGAAAGGCTGCTTAAAAGACTCTGGCAATTGTATAAGCTGTCGTGTCAACTTTGATGGGAAAAATTGTGATAAATGTCGTCATGGTTTTTATGATACACTTTGCTCTGAGAGATGCCCGATTAATTGTTTGAACGGTGTATGTGATAGAGATACAGGCACATGCTCTGATGGCTGTTTAGACAATTATTCAGGTGACAGATGTTGTATAAATAATAACAACTGTATCACATGTTGGTCAGATACAAGGTGTAAACAATGTAAGTCTGGATACTTCAATGACAAATGTAACAAACAATGTCATCATAACTGTCTAATGTCTTGTCATATTGAAACCGGTCTTTGTGATGGTTGCAAAGGAAACTTTTATGGTGATAGTTGCAATTTGTCATGTGCCTCTACATGCATGACTCAAACAACAGGCGGGAGTATATGTCAGCAAAGTAATGGAAAGTGTCTATATGGATGCGAAGATGGTTTCCATGGTTTACAGTGTTCTGAGGAATGTTCTGTTTATTGCAACGATACACTCTGTGAGCAAGACGATGGCAAATGTACAAAAGGTTGCAAATCGAAAGTAAAGAATGACAAAATTTGCCCTCTGACATCCGGTAAGATTAATTCGAAGCAGCTCTTTTTTCATCATATATTTGTTATATATGCTTTTCATTTTTAGCTATGCTATGTGTTAATGTTATATAATTATGTCTTATCTGTAAATTTTTAATGATGATGATTAAGCTGTTGCCGCTGCTAATGATGATGAAAATAAGGATAATGATGATGATTTTAATAATAAGAATTATAAAAGTATCTGCTACAAAAATTATACACATGTTTATGTATATAATAAAAAAAACAATATGTGAAAGCCAATTAAAAGCAAGACATTTGATTACATTTTATGTCTTAATTAATTTATAGTGATACATACTGTACTCTCTTTTTAATATGTCTTAAAATATACCCATGTAGCACTCTTCTAGTTCTAAGGTAAGATAATTGTGTTGTTTACCGATGTTTCTTTAGACTTAGGTTCCTCAGAGCAGTCAGTAAATACAGCTGCTATATCACTTGGAACATTTCTTGCTGTGTCAGTAGTTGTTAACATCGTATTTATGATTACGTTTATTCTCCGGAAATATCGGAAAAGGTAAAGATTGTTAATATATTAAACTGAATTTTTGTCCAAGATAGATCTTAAAGAACATGAAAGTTGCAAAAATAGACTAAGTGTACAATATATGAAATATGTCAAAATTCTAAAAAATTCTGAGTTCCATTTTCCAAAAAGAAGAAGAAAGGATCTATTGTCATGACCCTCTCGTTAGCTTCGCCGTGTCGGTGTTGGCATTGGTTAACCTTTTTTCTCGAAAACTGTAAAACCTAGTTTTTGCTCCAAACTTTGTAAACATATTTATTGTCATGAATGAACACAATTTCAAAAGTCATTTCTAATTTTTTTGTGCAAAGTTATGCCTCTTTTTCAACTTTTAAGCCCTGATTTTAGCCCTGATTAACCGTTCTGCGAAGGTCTATTTTCGCAGACACTATACAACTTCAGTCTTATTATACATGTGGCAGGGGAGATAATCCGGAATTGACATTTCCAAAGATATGCACTTTTACTGTTTTTTTCTAAGGTCGTTTTCTGAAAAACTGTCACACTTGTTGCAGTTTTAAATTGGAATGCATTTCTAAAGGACATGTAACTCTATTATTTTTCACAGTTATAACCCCCCTCTTCCTTTTTATCTTAATTTCTTGATTAACTTTTTGCTAAGTTACATTTCTCTAAAACAATCAAAGATATTTGTAGGAGTGAGATAATCCTGAAAGCATGTTTATGGTACTTTCAAAATACGATGTACGATGAATATATCACAACAGTTTTTGAGTACTGCATATTTATAAATGACAAGTCAAATGATCTAAAAGAAATATGGCCAACATTTCATTTACATTACAGGGTCAATGATACTTACAAAACAAAAGGACCTGTTTATGAAAACTCTGGTAAATATATATATAAATGTTATTTTTAACTTTTAGATGATTTTTTTTCATCAAAAATCTTATGTTCTTCATATTAATTTTTAACATATTTATTTAAGCTCGATTGCGAAACAAGTTCTTGCACTAATATCGATCATTTTAGAGTCCGTTTCCTGGAACCAACCAGTCATGGCGTCATATAAAAACGGGTTGTAACCCGAGTAGGGCTCGAACACATGATCCCTGGATTAAGAGGCATACACCTTAACCACTAGACCACCTCTCCCCTTATATCTCCATTTACACGGTCAGTTCTTAATTAAATGACTTTCAATCTGAATCATATGTTCTTACCATTGAGTTTCAAGCGTAATAATTTAGATAAAATAGTATCGTAATTATTCAAATATTTTCAGGCGCAATTACTTAGATAAATAGTAGCATAATTATTCAAATTTTTTCAGGCATTGAAATGGAATGTGGAAATTCAGCAAATGCTGGCAGTGCAAGCAAGCATGGAATAATACAAGGTATTTTTTGTTGGTTTTTTCTAGACTTTTAATTGGCTTCTTCAGATCTTTCTGTGCATTTCATTTAAAATACTCGTATATGTAATTACTAACAATTTCTTTCGTACCTATAATATCATAACATACCTTGAATATTTTTAAGGGTTTACCTTGATAATATTTAATATTTGGCATTTTGAATATTTCAATGAAGAAGTGCTTTTTTGCATAACTGATTGTTCTGAAGTTAAAATGTTGTGCAAATCTTTTAATCGCATGCGAGATAAATATACGGGCATTGTTAGTTGTTATTTGTTGTTTTTGTTGTTGTTGGAAAATAATCATGTATCCAAAGCGTAACTTGTATATTTCAATCACATTTTATAATCCGTTATGTAGTCAATAACTCTGTTAAGTTGCGTTGATATATTACAAGAATATCAGTATATAGAAAGGTCAATGTTTTCAGCATCAAACAGCGACCCAGTGTTAAAGCCACATGACTATGAGGATCTTGGAAGAGTTCAAGGTATTTGTGAATTAATTGTTCAGATCATTTATAATTTATTAAGTATCAAAATATAAACTGTTTATATAAACGTTTCGTCTACATTCTAGTTGGTACATTAAATGATTTTAAAATATTTTTCCTTTCTCTTCGTTTTTTACAGTATCTGAGCATGAATATGGAGAAATTCGTCCAGACACTTGATATCATTGATGGACTTATCACAGTAAGCACACGCCAAGATAAATGGTCATCAACAACAATTAAGTGTATTGAAAGAGTCAGACTGAGAACAGAGTAACAATTTAATTTATAAACAATAGACGACATTATATCAAACACAATATCATTCTTTATTGTAAGGTTATGATTATCTGTCTAATATTTTATGTGTTAAACACTATTGTAAATACTTTCTTAAAAAGCATTTAAAACATTTGACTGCATGGTGATATTTTGATGTACGCACATTTGAGGGCAGAACAAATCCATAAAACGGATGTCCATATTTACATACAGAAAATTTGAAATTGAGAAATACCTTAGTGAATCACCTACCAAATATTTTAAATATATAATCAAATGCAGAACTAGAAATCATAAACTACCGGTCGAAACTGGAAATTGGCATATGCTACCTTTAGAACTCTCTGCAATCAAAACATAGGCGACGAATTGCATTTTCTATTAGAATGCCCAAATCTTAATACGGATAGAATAAAAATATATCTCTGAAATTAATTTTTATAGAAATCCAAAAATAATAATGTTGGTGAATCAATGAACCTGAGCCCTCTAATTATGTGATATATAAAAAAAACTGCGCATGTTTATAAAAATGATCTTAGAAAAATATTGAACTAAATTATTTTATAAACTTTGATAGATATTTTTGAAATCATTCGTTTTATTTTGTATGAATGTTAAACTTTCTCCTGTTTATGTTAAAAGAATATTGTAAGATGTGTGAGTTATAAGTCGAACACGATAACGTTTACATTAATCGGTCATACCATTATGATATAATGGGTTGTGCAAGTTATTCAGTTATTACACTTTGCATTTTTATTGCAATATAGAAGAATAAAAGTGGATATGGATACGTAAAACTGAGTAGCGTAGTGGTTAGAGAGTTCAGATTATGAGGAGAAAGTTTAGATTTTTTTTCCGAGTTCAAATCTGCAATTGTGCAATATTTTTTTTGTGTTTGTATGGTTTTTACTTTCAAAAAACATTTTCATATTCTCTTATAAACCTGTGATTTATAATTTTGTACAATTTAAAGTTAAACTTACAACGGTTTAGCAAAATTGAATGAATTTGATTTTAACAGTCATTGAACAGATTGAATAGTATTGTCAATTTAATGCTATTTAAAACTCTGAATTCAATTTGCCTTTTTTACAATTTCGGCTCAATTGTATATTTATATATTTAAATATCTTCCAATCCTCATTTATCACTCTAATCACGACTGTGCGGGTTGCCTCTAACTGAACATGTCGGAAGCGAATGTTTGTAAAACTAAATGTTCTCAAATACCGGTAGTATTGTATGAACTAAATTCACGAGGAACTAAAATCCAGATCTTTGAAAAAAATATAAAAAAAAACAAAAAATATAAGAGAAGAAAAAATGCCTTTTCCAGGAATCGAACCAGGGTCTTTACACTGAGGAAGCCAACACACAACTATTAGGCTGAACGGTTAAAAATGAGTAATTATTTTGGTGATTAAAGATTTAGGCGATAAATAATATGATTTTGTATAAGAATTATCGACACCCCTATTTGATGTAAACAGAATATTAAAGGAATAGCGAATTCGAGCTGTACATGCTGTTAACTTCGTAAACATTTGTAATTTGTTATTTACCTCATTTACATGTATTGTGTATGGAGTGAATAATAAATCTTGAAAAATCTTGAAATCATAATTTGATACTCTTTTATTTAAGTTTTGTACAACTGTGCATGTGTTTTATTTGTTTTTTTTTTTTTTGTTTTGTTTTTTTTTTTTTTTTTGTATAAAAATATATCAAGTTGAACTGTTAATGTTTTTTTTTTAATCTGATCTATAAATAACTAACTTATTTACTTTGAATTATTTATTACAAATGGCGACTGTCCAGCTTTACAAGTGGAGGAAGACATCAGCTGCTCTTACGTGCTTTATTAAATTATATTAATTTTTATTCTGATTTAACGTTAGCAGTTATTACATTTATTCTGTAATTTGCTGATTATATTGTTATTTTAAGTCAATCATCTGAATACTTATAAAATAGTTTAGATACATTGCATAATTACTGTACAGTATGGGGATTAAAAGTAAATGAAGGTAAAAGTAAGGTTATGGGTTTTAGGAATAAGGGTCCGATTAGTAATAATGAGGGCATTGGAAATAAAATAATATTCCCTTAGAAATACTCGACAAGTTCAATTTAGGTACTGTATTTAACTATACTGGTATTTTTAATTTGAATCAAGAGTATTTAGTAATGAAAGACCTCAAGGCATTAATTGTTTTATTCTTCAATCTGAAACCTTTGTTAAGAAAGTTATTCTTTGCAATTGTTTGATGCTTTTGTTGCATGTATTTTGAAGTATGCCTGTGACAAAAATGAGGATTTGGTAAAAGTGAACAAATCGAACGAGCACATCTAAAATTGTGTAAGTCCATGTTATGTGTTAAGCAGTCAACAAGCAGTATGTATATTTATGGTGAGCTGAAAATGCACCCTTTAAATGTTAACAGATGTGTACGCGGATTATCAAATTCTGTTCAAATATTGTTTAAAGTAAACGTGTTTTTGTCAGTAGCTTATAAGAGATTAATACACGGCAAAGTAGGGCCGGAAGGTGATAATCGGCCCGGAAAATGAATAATGGTCCCGAGGGCTTCAGCCCGAGGGCATTATTCATTTCAGGACAGATAATCACCTTCTGGCACAACTAACACGTGTATTAATGTCTTAAATACACTTGTTAGATCTAATAGTATCATTTTTCTAAAAATAAATACCTTGAAATTTCTTTCGTTGAAATTCCTTTTTGCATTTCTACTCTAAAGTACAGTAACTTCTAGTGTACAGTACCGTAACTTCTACAGAGTTGTTTACTTTTTGTATGTTCAAAGTACACTACTGTACTGCAGAATCTAGAAGCAAGTTTTATTTTATTTTTTTTTCGGCATGAATTTGTTGTATTATTTCTTTAAACTTCAATAGTAATAAATCTGTATGTGTACGAAATATGCTTCAGCTCTCATAATAAAATCAAGCGATTCATGCTTAACCTTCTTTCACTTTTTCAGTTAAAGTGTGTCGTCATTGTTTCAGTTTGTGCGCTCGGCCCCGGGTCGCAAACTCATAATAGGTCACGTGACAGTCATAATCAGTTGAAAACATACTAGGCGATTTTGTTACTATATATAGTTACAAGTGTATTAATATACATAAATGTTAAATGATATCAATAGAGACAAAAGTAACTGGTTGTCTAATGTAAAATCATTATAAGATCATGCAGGTTTATTATATGCGTGGTATATTGATAACCTTGCAAATGTATATTTATTATTTAAACAAAATCGTATTGACCAGTCATGGTATCATAATGTAATAACTAGCCCCAGTCTAGGCACATGTAGACTTTTAAAGACTTCATTTAATTACTCACTGTATCTTGATGGAATTACAATGAAATTTAGAATTGCTTTTGCAAAGTTAATTAAAACCCCAGTCACACTAGATCATAAGATAATTTGCGACCACCGGCGACTTGTAAAACTTACGATCATCAGCGATTGTCTGCGACCAAAACTCTTTTTGCACAGATAAATTTGCGTCTGCGACTATCGTAAGACCTGTCATCATTGACAATCGTACGACAGGTAATAAGCAAACGTACGATGGTCTCAAGATTGTGTGGGATTACTTACGACTTACCGTGACCTGTCATGCGATCATCTATAACTTGTCCTACGTCCATCGCACGATAACTCAAGGTTACTCAAGATTATCAGTGACTAGTGGCAATTTGAAAAGACTGTCGTAAGATTGTCGCACTTTCGAGCGACGATCGTGCGACTGCCTAAGACCTTATAAGATCACTAGCGACCTGTTTGATCGCAGGGAGGTTGTTTTGCAAGTTCAAAAACCTCTCAACGACTGAAATTGGTCGTGGGACCTAAATAAGATAACCTGCGACTACCGAAGATCACCGATGACCGTCGTAAGACGTTTTAAATATTGTTCGCGACCAGTGGTCATTGGTGATCGTGAACTGGTCTTTACTGGTCGTAAACTTTAATGTGACTGGGGCTTAAGATTGTCTGCTCACTAACTTAGAATAGAAATAAGACGGTATTGTCATGAAGAGTACCAACAGCAACATGTAAATTGAAAAATGTAAATTTATATATATAAAGCCTTTAAAATGTGTCAAGATATGCTTAGTTTGATGTCGTAATACGCCTGTTACGGTATCTACCGTTTTGAATTAAAGTAATATGCAAATTGACCTTGTTATATTTTATCAATTTC